GCTGAGGCAGAAGGATCGTTGGAGCCCAGCAGGTCGAGGCTGCAGTGGCCGGGAGCGGCCACTGCACTCCAGTCTAGGCGACAGAGTGAGACTCCAACTCACAAAATAAAAAAAAAGTATTTTACACTAAGAATTCTTTATTTTTTGGAAAAGAAAATGACTACTATTTAATTTTGAAAAGTTATCCTATAAGAGAATGCTAAAAAGCATTAAAATATGTGTTATAGAGTTGATAAAATACAACAATATCCACATTTCCAATAATTCAGATTTCAATAATAGTTGATTTCCAGGAGCTACTATAAAGTCTCTCTGGCTCATTAGAGGCCCTGCTTAAAGGAGTAGATAAACAAACTATGAAGAAATCTTTAGAATGCTTGGCCAATGGAGAAAAGACCTAGGAAGAATGAGCAAAGTCTATGAGAGGTTTGGGATTATGTAAGGAGACCAAATCTACAGTTGACTGGCAACCTTGAGAGAGAAGGGGAAAGGTAAGAACACCCTGGAACATGCCTTTCAACATATATCTGAGAAAATTTCCCATATCCCACTGGAGAGGTGGCCACGCAGCCACAGATTCAGAGAATTCCTGAAAGGTATTACATGAGAAGACCATCCCTAAGTCACATAATAATCCATCTCACCAAGGTGAGCATGAAAGAAAAAAAATCCTAAAGGCAGCTAGAGAGAAGCATCAGACCATCTACTGAGGAAAATGTACCTGAATTTTAGCAGACTTCTCAGCAGAAATCCTGAAAGTCAGAAAGAACTGGGGTCCCATCTTTAACATTCTTAAATAAAAGCAATTCCAGTCAAGAATTTTCCATTCTGTCAAGTTAATCTTAATTAATGAAGAAGAATTAAATTCTTCTCAAATATCCAATCCCTATGAGAATATGCCACCTCCAGACCAGCTCTCCTAGAGATGCTTAAGAAAGTTCTAAGCACTGGAACAAAATGACAGTTTTACCATTCACAAAAGCAGAGGCAAGCACAAGGTTTGCAGACCATACAAATCAACCTGAAACCTAAACAGCAAAGCAGCCTCTTAATAGTGGTATGACTGAACAAACCCCCACATATTAATAATTAACTTAAAACACGAATGGACTGAACATGTCACTCAAAAGGCACAGGGTGGCAAACTGGATAAAGAAGCATGATCTATCCTTCTGCTGCCTTCAGGAAACCTCACTGCAAATGACATCCAAAGGTTCAAGGTAAAGGGCTAGAGAAAGATCTTCCAGGCAAATGGAAAACAAAAAAGAGTAGGAATAGCTATTCTTGTATCAGATAGACTTTAAACCAGTAAATGTTAAAAAGGACGCTACTTATTGCTAAAAGGCTCAATCTCCCAGCAATAAATATCCATTTTAACCATATATGCACCCAACACAGGAAAACAAAGATTTATAAAACAATTGTTAATTAAGCTAAGAGAGGACACAGACAGTCATACACTTATATCTGGAGACTTTAATACCCCGCAGACAGCCTTAAAGAGATTATTGAGGCAAAAAACTAATAAGGAAATTCAGAATTCTTTACTTGACACTAGACCAATTGGATCTAACAGACATCTACAGAACACTTTACCCAACCACCATAGAAAAACATTCTTCTCATCAACATATGGAAAATACTCCAAGATTTACCACATACTTGTACATAAATCAAGTGTGAACAAATTTCAAAAGGTCAAAATTGGCTGGGTGCAGTGGTTCATGCCTGTAATCCTAGCACTTTGGGAGGCAAAGTTGAGAGGATTACCTGAGTCCACAGGTTTGAGATCAGCCTGGGCAGCATGGCAAGATCTTGTCTCTACATTAAATAAAAAAATTAGCTGGATGTGGTGGCACACACCTGTAGTTCTAGCTACTTGGAAGGCTGACATGGAAGGATCATCTGAGCCCAGCGGGTCAAGGCCTCAGTGGCCATGAGCTTGGGAGACAGAGTGAGACTCCAACTCAAAAAAAAAAAAAAAAAAAAAGTCAAAATCATAGCAAGCATCTTCTCAGAACACAGTGGAATAAAAAGAAATATCACCAACAGGAAGTCCCCAAACACACAAATATGTGGAAATTAAACAACATGTTTCTGAATGACTTGGGTTAACACAGAAATCAAGGCAGAAATAAAAAGATTTCTAGAAATAAAGACATAACACACCAAAACCTTTGGGATACCATGAAAACAGTACTGAGAGGGAAGTTTATAACATTGCATTCACATATCAAGAAAATAGAGGGAACTCAAGTAAACGATCTAACACTGTACCTATGGTAGTTAGAAAAACAAGAACAATTCAATCCCAGAATTAGTAGAAAAATGGAAATCAGTAAAATAGTCACAGCTAAATGAAACAGAGATAAAAACATCATACAAAGGACTGATGAGATGAAAAGTTGATTCTTTGAAAGGATATACAAGATGGACAGACCCTTGGCCAGATTAACCAAAAAAAAAAAAAAAAAGAGAGAGAGAGAGAAAATTCAAACAAACACAATTAGAAATGAAAAAGATGATGTTACTACTAACCCCTAAGAAATACAAAAGATTATCAGAGATTACTATGAATATCTGTATGTGAGTAAACTAGAAAATCTAAAAGAAAAGCAGGAATTTCTGGCATCACATAATCTATGAAGACTGAAATAGGAATAAACTGAAACCCTAAACAAACCAGTAACAAACCACGAAATCGACTCAATAATAAGGAACCTCCCTGCCAAAAAAAGCCTCAGGCTTGATGAACACAGATGCAAAAAAATCTAAAATTGACAGGTGGGACCTTATCAAGCTAAAAGGTTTTTGCACAGCAAAATAAATCATCAAGACGATAAAGAGACAACACACAAAAACGGAAAAAAATATTTGCAAGCTATGCATCCAACAAAGGTCTAATATCAAGGATCTACAAGGAACTCAAATGAGTTAAGTGACAGAAATAACAAACAAATAATCTTATTAAAAAGTAGGCAACAGCATGCATGAACAGATACTTCTCAAAGGAAGACATTCAGGCAGCCAACAAACATGAAAAAACGCTCACCTTCAGGAATCATCAAATAAATGCAAATCAAAATTAAAATGAGATACAACTTCACACTGGTCAGCAGGATAGCAATGGTTTAAAAAAATCAAAAAACAACAGGTGTTGGCAAGCCTGGTGGGGAGGGAGGGGAGGGAACATTCCTACACTGTTGGTAAGAATGTTAGTTCAACTTTTGTAGAAAGCAGTGTAGCAATTTCTCAAAGAACTAAATATTGAGCTACTATTCAACCCAGCAACCTCACTTCTGGTAATATACCTAGAGGAACATGAATTGCTCTAACCAAAATACCTGCACACATATATTTACTGCAGCACTATTCACAGTAGCAAAAACATGGAACCAACCCAGGATGCCCATCAAAAGTGAACTGCATAAAGAAAATGTGGTATATATACATGATATAATACTATGCAGCCATAAAGAAAAACAAAATCATGTTCTTTGCAGCAACATGGATGCAGCTGGAGACTATTAGAAACCACTAGAGACCACTTAGAAAGTGAACTTCACAGAAACAAAAAACTGAATACTGCATGTTCTCATTCATAAGCAGGCCCTAAACACTGGGCATGTGAGCACAAAAGCAGGAACAACAAATGCTAGGTACTGCTAAAAGAAGGAGGGAGGGGGTTGGGATAAGAGGCACATAACCACCAACTGGGCAGTGTGACCGTTACCAGGGGAGAGGGCTTGCTAGAACCTAAATCCCATCTGTACATAATTTACTATGTAGCAAATCCTCACATGTACCCCACAACTCTAAAATAAATACTAATGTAAAAAAAAGAATGCTTGGGCAACATATCAATTAACATATAAATAAATTTCATGTTGGGAGTCTTTTTCTTCTTTTTTCGGTAAGGGTTTCACTCTGCACAATGACAGCTCACTGCAGGCTCAGGCAAATCCTTCTGCCTGAGTCTCCCGAGTAGCTGGGACTACAGGTACGTGCCACCATGCCTGGTTAAATTTTTTGTTTTTTGTAGAAATGAGATCTCACTATGTTGCTTAGGTTGGGGAAGTCTTTTGTTTACCCTAAAAATGGACTTACTAAGGCAGGCTCAGTGGCTTAACCTGTAATCCCGTGCTTTGGGACGCTGAGGTGAGTGGATTGCCTGAGCCTGAGGGTTCGAGACCCGCCTGGGCAACTTGACGAGACCTCATCTCTATAATAAATCAAAAAATCAGCCGGGCATGGTAGCGCGTGCCTGTAATTCCGGCTACCGGGAAGGCTGAGGCAGAAGGATCGCCAGAGCCCAGTGGGTCGAGGCTGCAGTGGCTGCTCCCGGCCACTGCACTCCAGTCTGGGTGACAGAGTAAGACTCCAACTCAAAAAAAAAAAAAGTACTTATTTGTAGTTAACGTAAAGTAGTTAATTTTAGTTTATGGCCTAAGACATTTATTAACAACTTCTAAAATTCTAGTTATAAATGAAGAAGTACCAACCTCTGCCCAGGCTTTAAGCACAGCTAAGATCTCCATGGTAGAAGCACTTTCATTATATAAGTGACTTAAAGCTTCTTTTCCAGCCTGTATTTTTGTTAATGACGAAACAAGCAACTGATGAACTCTTCGGAGATCATTAAGGTCACTTACAACTCCACTTGCTATCCAGGCACTGCAAACCTAGTTATTAGGAAAATCAAAAATTATTTTTAAAAATTATAAATATTCCTTCCCCTTGTGAGTTTAGCACAGCTTACCCAGATCTCGGGAATCTAGTCACTGAAACAATGTTGCTATAAAAAACATCCAATGATTGAGGCTATGATAGTCAAAAGCTAGCTGAAAAAGGGAATGAAGTCTAAGGAGAAGCAAAGACACTAGAACTACTAACTATATAAACTGAAGAGCTTTAGATGACTAGTATGGAGAAATGAAGTTGTGAAATTATAATAATAAATGTTTGTATTAATATTTGAATTACATCTCTAATGTTGACTATTCATCTCATTATTTTAAAACTGGAGATTGTGTGGCTAACGTAACTTAGTTAAAAGATAAAGCATTTAATATTTAAAGCCCCGATAAAGATTTTGATTATTTTGAAGACAGTATATTTTAACTTAAAACAAAACTTCATTAATAATTCTGAAATGCAAAATACTACTAGTTATCAGGGGCTATCTTACTATGGTTTTTCCAGATGCCATGATATTTTTCTCTTTTTCTAGAGAAAATCTTTTTTCCCTCTTAAGCATATTTAGTTCTTTTCTCATTTTACAAAAGATTTCAAGTGGCTTACAGCAAGAATACATATAATAAAGTGAAGATAAATGGGAGACTCAGTCCAACATTTAATGGTTCTCCAGATACTGAAGGCACACAAATATTTCCTAAATATAATTAAAGAAAGGTGAAAGAATTGACTAAAATTAGTTTTTCCCATTATGTTTATAATTTATTTATGCATACCAGACCTGCTTTTAATTATTTCAAGTCATGAGGGGCTGGATAGCAAGTGTTTGAAAACCCAGCCCAAAAAAGCAACTGCTTAAAACTGACATTATATGGCTCTCAGGTATATGAAAAGGTGCTCAACCTCATCAAGTCTAAACTATCCTAAGATATTTTTCTTATTTTATCACATAGACAAGAATCTAAAAGTCTGACAACTCACAATGCTGCTGAGACTATGGAGAAACAGGTACTATGGGCAACATTGTTAGTGTTTAAATGGCAAACACCTATAATATACTCTTTAATCCATCAAGTCAATTTTTGGGGAATTTATCTCATAAATGTGTTTGTACCCAGTGAATGACCTATGCACAAGGTCACTCATATAGCAATATTTACAATGGCAAAAAACAAAACAAAACACATCCTATGTCCAGGAATATAGAATGGATTAAATTACAGCATATCCATATACCTGATTACCATGCAGTAGTAAAAAAAGGAAGAGAAAGTCCCCCAAATTTAAAAAGAAAAGGAAAAGGGTAAGCTGAGATTGATGGTAAGACAACTATAAAAAAGAACCTTGGTAACAAACACTAACTGGAGGATTGCTCCCGAAGATTATTTCTTAAGCTTCATTTTTTTTTAACCATTTACCTGACATGCTTTAGCAGTGATATCAGGTGGCGTTTCTGAAGTGAAGGCTGGTCTAAGTGCTGCTCCTACCTGGCAGGAAATTATGAATATTAAACATTAATAAGACAGAATGAGTTCTCCTTCTTTTTGACATTATTTTAAAATTAGTTATTTATGATAGGTATTATAGACACCTGTTGCTTTTGCCTGCCCAGCATATCTTCCTGTTTTTAGATAAAAGCATTCTATTTTTTCCTTTGGGGAACCATCTTTCTCCCCACCTCTTTGACCATATTGTTGCTTTGGAGCTGATTGTGTTGTCTGACTCCAGAGATTCAAGTGTGGATAATGAAAGCTCTCAAGACTTTTGCTGAACGTACTGAGAAAGAAGCACTGTCTCTTTATAAAGCTCTACGTGCTAAAAGAGTCATCTTGATATCACTTGGAGAGAAGAAACCTGAGAATAAAGCCAGTGTAGAAGAGATTCGTAACAATAACCTTCCATTTCTGCTTAATTGAGTTGTAACTATTTCTAGCACTTGCATTTGTAAGAGGGCTAAAAATACAACAGAGTTCCCATTAATTTAGTTGACTTACAACATTTTATTTTAATACAATAGTTGTATGTAACTTCCAATTCCTTCCTTTTGCTTTCTCCCTCAGCATATACATTGGCATTATCTGTTGGGAAGAGATGATGAATACTGCTAAACAGCTGGTGAACTGTTCTGATCTCCCTAACTGTTAGCCATCAGAGGTTGCTTTTGAATCATGAGAGATATTCTTGGATGCATGCTGCTAGAGGATTACAAGACAGATTACAAGACAATAATGATTTCATTATTGTCCCTGCTCTTCCCAGATTGCTCAATGGACCATCCAAACAATCAGTTAAAAAGGCTATATAGAATCAGTGATAGAAATCTGAATCCTTTCCTTAGTATAGAAAAAAAATGAAGGTTATACATACTATCCTTTTCTAGGAATTATTTAAAGACAAAATATGCATGTTGTCTAAATATAATATTTAGCAATGATTTAGTGTTATATTACTTATTCATATATTTTATAAAGAATTTTATTACAGAGGTCCTTTATTCTCCAAATTATAAAAATTAATCTTTAAAGTTATAAAATACATTTTAAAAATTACTAGAAATGTGGGGTACAAGTAGAAATTTACAATATAAGTAGGTTGCATGCAGGTGAAATCTGGGATTCTAGCTGGCCCTCTCCTCCCGACAGTGGACCAGGTACCCAGTATGTTGGCACGTGACCTCCTCCTTCTCTTCTCTTTCCTCTCTCCCCAGCAGTGTCCAGGGTCTGCTGATCCCACCCGCTTATAAGTGAGAATATGTGGTATTTAGTTCTTTGATTCTGTGACAGTTCACTTAGTACAATGGCCTCTAGCTGCATCCAAGTTGCAAAATTCCTAATTTTGCTCTTCTTTATGACTGCATAATAGTCCATTGTGTATCTGTCTATCATTTTCTTTATCCAGTCCGCTTTTGATGGGCATCTGTGTTAGTTCCATGCTTTTGTTATTAGAATAGTGCTGCAATAAACATGCATGTGCAAGTGTCTTTTTGGTACAGCAATTTATGTTCCTCTGGTTGTATTTCCAGGAAAGAGATTTCTGTTTCGTATGGAAGCTCAATTTTTAGTTATTTGAGAAATTGCTACACTATTTTCCATAGAGGGTGATCTAGTTTTCATTCTCACCAACAATCTAAAAGTGTCGCCTTTTTCTCCAGAGGCGCGCCAGTGCCTGTTGTTTTCTGACTTATTAATGATAGTCATCTTTACTGGTGTTAGGTGGTATCTCATTGCAGTTTTTTTTTTTTTTTTTGAGTTGGAGTCTCACTCTGTCACCCAAGCTGGAGGGCAGTGGCACGCTCCCGGCCACCGCAACCTCAACCCACTGGGCTCCGGCGATTCTTTCGCCTCAGCCTTCTGAGTAGCTGAAACTATAGGCACGTGGCACCACGCCCGGCTAATTTTTTGGATTTACTGTAGAGATGAGGTCTCGCCAAGTTGCCCAGGCGGGTCTCGAACCCGCGGGCTCAGGCAATTCACTCACCTTGGCCTC